GAGATATTTATATATCTTCTCCTGCCAATCTCCCCCTTCCAACTTAGCCAGGGCCGCTTTAGTGATGCAGACAACTCACTTGGCCATACCATTGGCTGTGGGGTTGAATGGGGCTACAAATGCATGGTGGATTCCTAATTCTGCTAGAAACTCAGCAAACTGTGCAGCCCTTAGCTGTGGGCCATTATCAGATACCACTACATCAGGTATCCATGTGTGGTGAATAATTGCCTAAGGCCTGCTATGACAGACTTCGCATTTGTAGATGACATTACTGACACTTCGACCCATTTAGAGAATGCATCAACTGCCACTAGGAATGCTTGACCCCTATAAGGGCCAGCAAAATCTAGGTGAATTCTGGACCATGGTACCATTGGCACCTCCCAGCTTTGTACCTGAGCCCTTGGGTTGAGGGGTCATGATAATTGGCAAGGCTGGCAAACGGCTACCCAGCAAGCAATGTCGCTGTCCATCTTTGACCACCAGGTGTAACTACGGGCCAAAGCCTTCATACGCACCACCCCTGGGTGCCCCTCGTGCAGGGTAGCAAGGACCGCAATGGTTCTGGGATCACCACCCAGCTACCCCATAACAAACACCCCTTTTGTGAAGACAATTTGTTTTTTTTGGAGTAGATAGGGGCGGAACTCTGAGACCAAATTCCCCACTGGCCACCTCGTTGAACCCAATCCAACATCCTGGACAACACCTTATCTTTCCATTGTGAAGTTCCGAGAAGATGACCTAATTAATTTACGAGCCTCTAGACAAAGTTCAAAAGAAATCCAATCATTTATTAGGATCGACATTCTGGCGTGGACTCCTGTGGAGCCGAAACTGCTTTCACTTAATTGTGTTTGCACTTTACCCCCTGTCCCTTCTGTCCTGCGTCATAATTCATATTCTCCAACTAGGCTATAGACATGAGATCTGACTCCGGCTGAAGGCATGCATGCAATTTTCCCTTCCATGCCAGCCTGATAATAGTCCCGGCAACGCTTTAGAAATTGACATCCGGCTCCCCTCACTTCCCGAAAGTGACCCGTTTGACACAAAGACTATTTGAGTACAGGTATATAACTTAGGGATGTGTCCCTCCCCCAGGCTTGCTTGGATTTTCTGC